GATTGAGCGAACTCCTTTTTTTTTTTTTGGTGTGTGTGTGGATAAGATAAGATAGCAGGGGTCAGTAAACTCAGTTATCTGACTGCATATCGAAATTTATTTTCGGTTAGTGTGGTTAGTCAATTTTTTAGGATATCATGATAGTCATTGAAATGCAATGGTTTGCTCCTGCCTTATAGTATAAGGCATGGCAGTAACATATCAAGAGTGCTTTGGGTCAAGGACTCCTTATGAAGGTTGAGAAAATACTAAGATTGTTAGATATGTGGATGAAGATTGGAGTAGACCTCGATCTGATAGATGGTCTATGCACACTCATTGTGTATTGAGTGGTGGAAATTTGATCTCTTGAAGAAAAGAAGTAATTACTGTCTGGTCAACTGGAGGGGTTGAATACAGAGCAATGGTTTTAGCAACATATGGAGCTTATGCATTTCAAACAGTTGCTTCAAGAACTGTATAAAAAAATAGCATAGTTGACATTGAATTATGACACATCTGACTATATTTCTTCTAATACATTGTTTCGTAAATAGACCAAGACATTGTTTTCAATTACCATCTATCGTAAGAAAATATTGTTTTAACTTAATTCCATGAGCTCTGTTATCTCAGCTAGCAAACATGTGTGCTTAAAATGTATGTGATCCTAGCATTTATATATTTGTGTGGGAAGCTTGGAGCACGTGATCTTTACACTACAAATTGAAAGGAAACGTGATAATGCATCTAAGATCAGTGTACACGTTTTGATTAATTGTACAAAATATTTTTAAAATTGTTTCACAACTAGGAACTTGGTAAGTAGAAAACTTTCTTTATTTGGTGAAGCCTAAACTCCTATGTAAGGAGCCTTTATGTATGTTATTTATCCCTAACATAATAAGATTTCGATCGTCTTTAGAAAGAAAATTTCCCTCTTCTTTTTTCTTTTTGATGTACAATTGGTCTATAAATGACTTTATCCTGTATAAATTCCTAAATGCCAATATCCAGAGAGATATATGCAGCAGCAAAACAGGAGAGATAAGTCCTCTCCAAATAGGAAGGTATAGGAAACCAATGTATATGCTTTGTTGGGAGTTACAGTAGCTGTTTTTATGGAAAGATATGTTACATAGTTGCACATTTTATACCTCTAAGAGATGGCTATATATGTGTTTCATCCGTTCTTTACTGTAGCTAAGACACTGGAAAATGTGAAATAAATTTTCTAGTGTAGACATCAGTCCTCTGAATGGGTTTTGCTTGTCTAATAGTTGGATAAGTGATTAAAATCTTTGGGGATTTTGACAAATGTTTAATCTGTCTCTTGGAATAAATAAGAGGAAACTAATTAATTTGGTGACACATTGGGTTTCCCTTTTCCTGGTTATCTGTTGACAGTGTTTCTCATTTACTATTATATATGGCATAGGTATTTTCAATCTGCTCCAATCCACGATCAATCTCAACAGCGCATTTTAATAACATAAGTGGATGTTATTATCCTTATTATCTGAAAACTGAGAGAGGAAGCTTCCATGTGCATTCATGACACCTTGAAGCCTTTCCTTTCTACTGCAACTTACCTCCTCTCTCTCTCTCTCTCTCTCTCTCTCTCTCTCTCTCTCCATGTTATCCTTTCTCTGCAGTTGCCTATGCCCATTTTGTGTTAACTTCCACGCATTGGTAGTGAAAAAAGAACTCCATACATTGGAAGTAATAGATCCCAAGAATGCCAAATTGTTATACTATAAGGCAAGAGCAGAAAAAGAGTCTAGATGAAAGGTAAGGAAAGGTGGAAGGATGGAGACTGGGTGAGTTAAGAACAGAAGAAGATTTGGGGCATGGCTATTCTTTTTTCTTTTTTGATGAAACTTTGAAGAACTCTTTATGGATGAGCTTCCAAGACTTGGCTTTACTAAACTGACAAAAGAAGTTCTGCTCTGCTGCTCTTTGTCTCCTTCACTAAAATGTTTCATGACAATGTGATACTGTTTGTAATCCCAATTTTGGGAAGCAATGCCTGGAAAGTGGACAGGTTAGAGAAAATTCTCCTTTTCCTTGTATCATAAAGAAGAAGGATTGAAAGTCAACCTGCACTCTTAAGTTTAAGTTGCCAAAAATTTAGAGTGACGGAGGTTATAAGTAGGCATGTGAATATCTCAGCCATAGGTTTTGAATCTTCACATCCTTAGTTTACATATGTTATGCATACTAGATATAAGTTTCCGTGTACGCACTGCAGCTGGTATTTCTATACACTGCAATAGGAGATATTCAGTTGGGATCCTATTTCTTGATGATAATTGGTAGATATATAATGCCTACGCTGTCTTCCTGCTAGAATTTTTATAAGCGTCACTGAATTTGACTCTACATATATTCATAAAGATTTATGCAGTTATGATTTGCATATATTCCTTTGTATCTTGGGAACTGATGGATATGCAAAGTATTTGATGTAGGCCATTGCCACGGCAAGGATGAAAGGGGAGTATCCAGAAAGAATGGGACAACCAGAATGCCAGGTATGTTCCAGATCCAATATGTCTTTTATCTGCTGATCGTATAGGAAATGAATATCAGTGTAATAACATCTATTGATACAAATGGAACAACAACAAATAGCCTCAATTTTAAACTAGCTTGAGGCTAGATTTTTACAAAAAGGAAATTTAATTTAAAATCAGAAAATTTGTCAAGACTATTCTTTAAATACAGAGCCTATTCTCTTTTAAATGTTAATTTAGGATGCTTTTTAATAGTTCAAAAGTTCTCTCATTTTTGGAGTTTTAGTGAATCAGAGCAGTAGACCCACAGGCAGAAGACTCAAAATGATGCTTGTATGTGGAGTGACTAGTTTTTAGAGTTAGAGCAGTCAAGCATTAAATATGATCATCTTTCTTAAGTTCAGTTTATTTTCTGGCTGTTGAAGTCATGCTTTGCACGAGCTTTGGTGTGGTAACTTTCCATTTGTCTCCGCTAATTCCCTTTAACCTATTTAGCTCACAAACTGAATGATTTTAGTAATTTTACAGTACTACTTGAAGACTGGAACTTGCAAATTTGGAGCCACATGCAAGTTTCACCATCCTAAAGACAAGGCTGGGATTGCTGGAAGAGTTACCCTAAATGTCTTGGGCTATCCACTTCGCCCGGTTTGACTTCATTATCCGAATTACTTGTTGAATTTAATAACATTGGTTTTCTAATGTATGCAAAAGGTTCTTACTTCATAATGATTCTAATGAAAGCTTAACCTGCATGTTTTTCAACTTACCATATTGTCAGGCAGGGGCTTGCAAAAGCCCTTTCTTTTGTTCCACATGATTGCTGCTAAAGTTATATAAGATCGATTGTAATGATTAAAGAGAACCGTACCTATGTTTAATATGGAAGATAAAGCTAACAAATGAATTTATTGCCTTGACGTTGTATTTGATATTCATGGGATACATGCATTGCTTCATTGTATTTACTGGGTGTGTATGATTGTGCAAATGGCTGATCGAGACCTCTTTATTGAAACGTGTTTGTGCTCTGTGGTTATACGTAATGTCTTTTTTTTTTATTCCTGCAGAATGAGGCTGAATGTGCTTATTACATGAGAACTGGACAGTGCAAGTTTGGAAGTACCTGTAAATTTCACCATCCCCAACCTTCTAACATGATGGTCTCTTTACGTGGCTCCCCTACTTATCCTCCTGTTCCTTCTGCAACAACTCCTGGTCAGCTGTCCTATCCCTTGTCCAGAGGATCTTTTATCCCTGGTGCACGCTGGCAGGCTCCGTCAAGTTACACTCCATTGATAATGCCTCAGGCAGTAGTATCAGTTCCAGGATTTGCATACAGTGTAAGCTTTCGCATGATACCTTGCATTTGCTTGTTATCTATTGCCTAATTTTATACTTTGTTGCTATTCTGGAAACTAGAATTTGCTGCATCCAGTCCTTTTTATTATAACTTGGGTTCCAAATTTGCTTGTTGATCAAGAAGTTCGGCTTACACTTTTTTATGGCTAAGCTTTTGTAACCTCTTATCTATATTCATATTTGGGGATTACTTTAACCTTTCTGGAATATTTGAAGTCTGATGGACAAATATTAGAATTACTATATCCATTTTCGTCGCAGCATGTTTACTAAGATTTTGTTCTTTCTTCAAAGGTTCTGTTCTCTACTTGAATATATTTGAGAATGATTGCATCACAACATCGGAAAACAATTCCACTTTAATTTAGTGGTAGAGATTTTCTTTGGAAGAATAACTTGGTAATTATTACTACCAAGATGAAATTCTCCTATGTTTCTCTTTGAGGATGCCCCCATTATTAGATATTGAAGTCATACCTTCTTCCTCTTCGGAGTCATTATGCTAGCACCTTCTCCTTCTTATGCTATTTGAGTGAATAATTTTCTTTTGTGGGGATGTTAAGATTATTACTTTCTCAATTATGAAATTGGCGAGAAAAGTTTGCGAAGTAGTTTCAAGGAGGCTATTCACTGCCTTTATATTTCTTGGAGATAAAGCAACAATCCCTTCTTGTAGTCATATGGTATTAAGTTGTTATTGTAGCTGATGTCCAGATGGAAATAAGTTTAGAATGTATTTGTGAGAATATGTTGTCTTCTGAATAATCATCTTTTATTTGATGGGGAGCGGAGCTGGCTGAGTTTGAACTTGACCTTAGTCCCAGTAGGAGTATTCACAAATTGAACTTAATCTCTTTGCGATTTATATGGCAGTATTCAGGCCAGATGTTGCATTCGTTTATGGTCAAGTATTTTCTATAATCTTGGTATTGCACAAGCTTGCGAGCTGTGCCTTATCTACTTTTGAGGTTTAATAATACGTGCATATGAACTCAATTTACATAGGAGGTAATATCTCTTTCAGGGTCAGATGGGATCGATTTCTTCTCCCGAGGGCCAGCAACAGACAGCTGGAAATAGCCAGGTTTATGGAACTTCACGATCCGGTGATGCAGTAAATATGGGATCCCAAGGAGTTACTTCCCCATATCGTCCAGCTTCTGTTCCTATGGGGTACTATGCATTGCAGGGGGAGAATGTCTTCCCTGAACGACCTGGGCAGCCTGAATGCCAGTTTTACATGAAGACTGGAGACTGCAAGTTTGGTGCTGTTTGTAGATTCCATCATCCGAGGGAAAGGCTGATACCTCCTCCTGACTGCATGTTAAGTCCCATTGGACTTCCTTTACGCCCTGTGAGTAAACTTTTTTTGTTATTTGCTGGTGTTTTTAGTATGACATAAGTCTTGTGATGAGTTTGCTGTTCAAAACTTCCACACTTATTTTTATCAGCTTTAAGCGGTTATGATGATATTCCCCTTTGAGATGGATTTTTTTGAACATCAATGTGGCCAATATTCTATGGATAAATTTAGACTATTTCCTCTCACGGGGAACTACTGTTTATCAGTGCTAGTGAAACGAGATTTGGAAGTGATATTAATCGAATATGACATTTCTGTGCAAATATAATTTTGTTTCTCATGCTTGATGTACTTGGTGACCTACTCTGCAAAGTTGGCCCTCTTCCAAATTCTGTTAAGTATTTAATTTTGTGTTCCCACAGACCCACTGTGAATAAATTGCCACTAGGTTAATTAATTGACATTACATGTAAACTGGTTTCAAAGAGATGTTTGTCTTCATATTTTTCTACTTGGAAGATGGACTTATAGTCTATGAAGTAGAGTGTTCTTCAAAAATAAAGTAAAGATTTTTTTTTTGTTGATTATGACTTCAAATTTGTGGAGACCTGTATGACTTGTTGGAATCCATGTTAAGGCTAGTTTCTGACTAACCTGCTAATTGTTTGGTATTCTAGCAAAGTCATTTTGTGACAAAATTTGTCAAGTTTAAGGATTAGAAATGAAGAAACAAAGATCTGCTTACTAAGTTTGGGGACACGAAGGTGTTTACTGACAATTGTAGCATTGAAAGCCTTCACTTCTTCGAATTCTAAGTATGTGCTCTGGCTGAATATTTTCTAAACCAAACAGCAATATTCTTATTTACAGAAAGCAAAAGGGAAACAGGAGTAAAAGGTTTTTTTTTAGAAAACAATTCTTTTGACGCACACAAAACCGTTTCCTTCAAATTCAGATTCTAATTTAAACATTAAAAATATAAATTCAATCGATTTCTAATCAGACACCACCTTATTGAACTTAGTTGTAATTATGTTAGCTAAAGGAGCTGTTGAGACTTGAGAGTATGATAATCTGCATGAGTGGTACAGTCTTGGAACATATTTTGGAAGAAAATCAAAGGAAGAGAAGAAGAGATGTGGGAAAAGAATAAGTTGAAATAGGATAAAGAAAAAATGGTTACTTTTTCCCCCAGTTAAAACCTTTTTGGTAATGTGGAAACTCAGTGAGCTGAAAAGATCTCTTTTGGTTTCTTTGTTGGATTTGTTTTGCAGGGAGAACCGTTGTGTATTTTCTATTCCAGATATGGGATCTGCAAATTTGGCCCAAGTTGCAAGTTTGATCACCCAATGACGGTATTCACTTATAGCATCTCAGCATCATCTCCCACTGATGCTCCTGCAGTTCAGCGTCTATTGGGTTCATCATCAGGAACCAGTGCGTTGACCTTGACTTCAGAAGGGCTTGTTGAAGCAGTGTCAACGAAGCCCAGGCGACTATCACTCTCAGATACAAGAAAGATGCCACCTGGTGATAATAACATTGACAGAGAGGGATGATTTTTATCCCCCCC